TATTATTACCCAAAACTTTATAAAGCCAATGAACTTTTAACAATAGAGTATTAAAAACATGTGCCCAATAGCTGGTATTATCTGCCATTCTGCAGTTTCGTCCTCATGCAAGTGTGGCCTCTTTTGACTCATCTCGGGGTTTCACGTTTCTGGAGGGCACCCACAGCAGTTCTGATCCTGTAGAGATATAAGCAAATCCTCGCCCCCACCTAATAACAAATCCCTTTTTTCCATTCATTAGTTAGAGCTTTCTTATAATATATAGCTGATTCTTTAGAGGATTGTAATACCCAATGTCTTTCAGCTGGAGTTTCTCCTTTTTCATTAGCATTTAAAAATTTTAAATAAGGCTTTTTGTAAGAGTTCGAGGAGATGATATCCCATCTCCCCCGTTTTTTCAACATAGTTTATAAAGTCAAATTAGCCCTTTCTATTATAGTTTGTCCTGCAATAACATAATAATAGCATATAATTCAGCCTGTTGAACAGAAGTCAAGTCAGTTTTCACTACTTTATTATCTTTACCGTTAGTATAACCTGCATAATCCATCTTATTTGCATCTGTATAAATATCTGCTTGCAAAGGTGAAGTTTTTACTTTCACTAATAGTATCCAATTAGTCCCTTTACCTGATTTCTTTTATTATAAACATTGCAAAGTTGCAAGGACTAGTGGTTTAATATGATCTGCTAAATATTGTTCTTGAACTAATCTAAAATTTCTAATTTCTCTCTAGATCGGGGCCACTGCTCCACCCAAACAGGTTTCTCTGTTAGCCAAGTTAAGGGAAGACCATAATGAGGAAGAGTGGCCCTCATTATAAATTTGGATATCCTAATCCTTTCTCATTTTCTATTCTTAACCTGCTGTTGTCATGGGTCTCTCCAAACTGCTTAAGAGCAAGGATGCTAGTGTTAAAATTAAGGTGCATCTCATCAAAATCCTATCTTCAATGGTGTCATATGCACCTGAGTGAGTGGATGACAGAACCAACGCCACCAATTTGTGGTTCTGGTGAAGAATACTATCTTCTGGGGTGCCCCAGAAAGACAAACAAGTCAGTCTTGGAGGAGGTACAGCCACAGTGTTCCTTAGAGGAAAAGATGGTGAAACTCTCATATTATGGGCATATTGTCAGGAGGAAGCAGGCCTTGGAAAAAGACATGATGCTGGGCAAGGTGGAGGCGAGTCAAAGACCCTCAAGATGGATGAGAACACTGGGCTGGAGCGTATCCAAGTGAGGATGGCACAGGACAGGCCAAGGTTCTCACTGTGGGGTTGCTAGGAGCTGTGGTGGTGTGAGGTCCTACTGAGTATAACTCACAGCGACTCTTGAGAACAAGACATGAACCCAGTCCTCTCCTGTGCCATCCTCACATCCTGACACACGAGAGCCCACTGCAGCAGTGACCGTGTCAAGCCACATGGTTGAGGGTCTTCCTCTTCTTGGCCTCCCTTCCCAACATTGTGTCCTTATCCAAGGAATAGCACCTCCTAGTAATATGTCCAACATATGGGAGACGAAGCCTCATCAATCTTGCTTTCAAAGAGCACTCTGGCTGCACTTTCTCCAAGACCTATTTATTCTCTTGGCCATTCATGGGGTGTTCAGTGCTCTTCTCCCAACACCACAGCTCAAAGGCATCAATTCTTTTTCCGTCATCCTTATTCACTGTCCAGCCCTCACATGCATAGCTAGTCACAGGAAAGCCTATGGTCCAAATCAGACACATCTTAGTCCTCAAACTGACATCACTACTCTTCAATAATTTGGAAAGTTTCTTAACTGTAGATTTTCCCAGTGCAATACGTCTCCTTATTTCCTGACTGCTTGTACCAAAGGTTAATTGTGGATCCAAGCAAGATGAAGCTGTTGAGTTTAAATTTCCTCTCCATCCACCATGACCCTGCCTATTGGTCCAGTGGTAAGGATCTTTGTTTTCTTGATATTGAGATGCAGTCCATACCCAAGGCTGCATTCCCCGATCTGCAACAAGTGCTTCAAGTCTTCCTCACTTTAAGCTAAGAGATGTAGTTGATGTATGTTAAAACTGTTCATGTGCTATTCCTTTCTCGCCTGATAAAATATTGCAGTAAAACCAACTGTTGTCAATTCCAACTCATGGTAAGACCATGTGTCCAACAAGAACTGTGCTCCATCAAGCTTGGGTTTTAATGTTTTAGACATGTATTTCACAAGAGCTTAAGATACAGAGCTTATGGTCTATGGAAGGCTAAAATCCATAGCAGACAGCCTAATTCCATTTACCGTGTTAACCAGGTGCAGTGGAGTTTGGGCCATTAAACCAGTCAGGTGATCAGACAAGTTGTGTGGGGCTGAGGAGGGGCAGTGCGCCCTTGGGCTGGTGTGGAGACACAGGACTCACCCAAATGTGTTCTTTATGATTCTGCGGCACTAGCAGCCTGGGATCTATTGTTAAAGTGGAGGGGGCAGGTCCTGGCCACACTCTGCCCATGTACTGTGCCATTCACAGATGCTGCCCTCACCATCCTCCGTTAGTGGCGTGCTCCTGCTGGGCAGTGACAACCTGGCCTGTACCAATCACCCCCTGGGCTCTCCGTTCCTAAACCATGGCCAGCACGCTTCCATGAGGAACTGTTGAGGTCTTTTTTTTTTTTAATTTTATTATTATGTGTGTGTGTATTGTCAAATGGGATCTGAATGGTACAGGAGGAGATTGCCCTCCTTCTCCAGCAGAGCATCTGATGGATCCGAACTGCTCACCTCTGGAATTGCAATGCAGCTTCTTGCCACTAGGCCACCAGAGCGCACCAGGAACTGTTATTTTTAAAGCAACATCATAAAACATGTTAGTGGCTCTTCCCCAAGTGCCAAACGTTCGATCACAAGAGTCCAGTGATACACTCTACCAACAAAAGGAAAAAAGTCACATCGGGTCTGTGGATCTTTTAAAAGTTTATTTCTATTGTACCTAGTCCCAGACCCCAATATTTGCAGGCTGAGCATTTTTGTTCTAGCACATGGTCTACAGACCCTCCTCAGAGAATTCTGTCTTTCCATTCTCTTCCAATAAAGACAGCACCTTCCATCCCAGTGCATGTTCTAAGTTAAAATTGCCTTTAAAATGCAAGTTTATTGAATAAAGCTGAGAAGAGCAGTAAAGGAGGGAGCATCCACCTTTAAAAAAATTCATGTATTTACAAAGTTGAGTAACTGTTAAGCTTTCACATGCAGAGGTTAATGCACAGGTAATCGTGTTTGGAGGTCGGAAATGCTGAAAGCCATGAACACAAACACGTTATGATGTAGTTTCAGGTCAGGTAGCAAACCCACACGGTCCCCACAGTCACCCATCATTAGTTCCACTTTTTCCTCAGAGCACTAGCACTGGCCAAGTTCTTTGTGCTGGTTCCAGTGACCACAGTGGCTGTCAACTGCACTAGCAACATTCAGTAACTCTTCCTTTACAGAACCACCCATCCCACTGGGGAGGGGAAAAACATGCTTCAAAAAACAGGATTCTAATGTCCAGATTCTCCTCATCAAAGATGGACTGCAGTAAAAACAAACAGAGTCTATACAACACCATGCAGTGTTTTGTAGAGAATATTTTTAAGGCCATGGCAGTCTATAAATTAAAACTGGTTATTTGTTAAAATAACTTATTACTGACTACACTTCGAGAGCTTGACACGCCTGGAAATGAATGCACTGTCCACGTACAAGAGCTGCTCAACAAAACAGACAGACGTCACACACAGCGGGGCGACAGAGCAGTGCCATGGAGGTCTCCTGCTCCAGCAGACTAGGTGCAGGGGAGCCAGGACTCCCTGCCCCTCTCTGCCTAGAGTAGCTAAGCTACAGAACATGTTCATGTTGAGTTTTTACACATTTCTGTGTCGGAGAAGCAAACTATAAACAGCTTCAGGTCATCACTTCTGTGTGACTAATTATTAACCAACCTGCAGACACGATCAACGATTACATGGAAGGAAGCAGGTGGGGCTAGAGTTGTCATAATAATCAAGGTGTCTACAGGCACCAGACAAAAGGGTGCCAAAGGTTACAGCAGTGAGAGATTAAAAGAATTTGTTTCGGGGGAGGGAGCTGTTTGTGCTGAAAAGTCCACTTTATGACTGGATATAAAAAGTCAGGTGTGAGGGTGTCATGCAGCAGCACTGGTTTCATGACCAGAGATAAGAAAACGGGTTTGAACGAAGTCTGACAGTCTTAGTAGGTTTTATTATTTTGACTGGAATGCTCTAATGCATGAAAGCTTCCGAGAAAATAATCAATCCCCAAGCCCTTATAACAGTGTGCTGAACCAGGAGGAAAAGAGCAGTGCTGACCTGGGCAGACACAAAGCACAGGCCCCAACTCTCCATCCCCACTGTCCACCTAGTAGTGAACCTCAGAAAGCACAATGCTCTCAGCACCACCAGAGCCAGACCCACTGGCCATGCTCATCACACCTCCACACCCTCTATGCAGACCTTGTCTTTAAAAATTCCTACGGTGTAATCAGACACGTCACATGCATGTGTGAGCTATCCCGTATGAATCAGGCAGAAGGGTTTCTAAATACTGTGTGTGGCAGTAGAAGCTCCATGCAGTCTCATGTCCCTGTGGGGACAAAGCTACTGGACTGGACAATGAAATGTCGTAGGCAGACATTCACTGAAAACCAATATAAAAATCTGGCCCACAAAGACCAGAACGGAAATACGCAGTTTCGTGATTTAAGATGGTCAAAAATGTGTTTTAAAAACCCCTCTACACACCATTTAGGACAAGGATGTGCAAGGAGTCTTCGCGTGTGCGACTTTATCATGACAACTCTAGCGCTTCTTCAGAAGGAAAAGGGATACACATCTTGAGCAGTGCACATGAGAAATAAACTCTGAAAAAGGCAATTTCTTGGGTTTAGGAAGGACCGTGTTCCGGGAAGTACTCAGAGGAACGGACAAAAATTCTGGGATTATAGCCAAGAAGAGCTGGAAGACTTCAGCAGGCGCTTCAGCTTCTTCGAGATTTTGAATGTTGAATAAGCCACTGAAGTGTGATATCTAGGGATTGATGAGAAACAGTGTTAAGAAACTGCATGGTAACACACAATCTGTTAAGAGAAGGCTGTGGACATCGAGGTGCGGCCTTGTGAGCGCCCAGCACCTGCCTCCTGCCCTTCTTTGCCACACATCTGAGCTTCGAGGGGCCACTGAGCATTTACCAGACAATGGAGGCTCTGACTTCAGGAGGAAAAGGTGTATGCAGGACAGTTTGTGCTGTTTTCATTAACTCAGAAATGTACGGACTGCCTGTAAAGAGCAGGTCTTACAGGCAAGGTGCCTAGATATGGAAGAAGCCCTATCTACCTCTAATGGGCTGGCTGCCTAGTAAACAGAAGAGGCACAGTGACCGGCACCTGGGGTTGGAAGACAGGAGGACACCCACAGAATCCAAGGCCGAAGCAAAAGAGAAACCAAGGGAGAAAGCTCTGAAACTATCTGCAATGCTGGCTGAACCCCAAGTGATTAATGGGTATTCTGATTTAGCAACTGCTGGTGCTGATCCAGTTAGATGCCTGGATTGATTTCAGGCTGACCTTGATAATACACTCAACACGGGAACTAGAGGTGTTCTGGTAACACCGCAGTGAGACGTGCTGTGACTGACACACTGTAGAGAGAGGGGTTGACACAATGCAGTGAGAGGGGCTCTGACTGGGTTTAGAGGGAGCCTGGGAGCCAGTGCACTCTATCAAAATAGGCAGAGCAGCCTCAAAGAGCCGAAGTGGTCCTCACCTACTGAGATTCCTTCAGAAAAAAGCTCAAGAGTTGATCTGCTTTTTTTAGATTAATATTGGCTAGTTTTATCACAATGGTAAATTACCCATTCCCCCTGTTCTGTATTTTAGAAAACACTAGAGAAAATGAAAGGGAAGAACCGGTGAAGAGAATCCTAAAAGGTCCGGGGTCCTGTTTGTGTCGAGCAGGTTCTTACTGGCACAATCATGCCCCTTGCAGCGGCTGCTCTTCATCCTGAGACTGGAGAACGCTGAGCAGACCTCCTGGTTTTGCCCAGAAGCCAGCAGCACTTTGTGGGGGTAGAACTGACTCGCAGCTGAACCTCCAGGGCGTGTTCAGAGGCAGTAAATCGCACAGGAGAAGACTGCCTATCCTTCTCCCGTGGAACCCCCTGCCTCTGGTTTGGCAGAACTCTGGCCACAAGAGCTCCCTGGAAAACCTTTGACATTGTTAGGTGCTGTCGCATACAACTCAGAGAGAACCCATGAACCAACGATCTGAGCCCTGCTCTGTAACTATCATCAATTCTCTAGTGTACACCTTTAGGGGAGCAAAAAGGCCCCATGTGCCTTCTGTAAAACACCCCGCAGGTGTGGACTGCTGACTTTCCTGTTAGCAGCTAAGGATTTTAACCACTATGCTCCCAGAGGGATGAACTTGCTGTCCAAACGTTCACCCAAAACACAACTACTTAAACACAATTAATTAGTATTTAAAACAAAATAACCCTAAACACTGATGTCCATTCCAACAACAGCCAATTTCACCCCAACACCAGTGGTTACTTACCTATATTATCCTTTTCTTTGCAAGAAATTGAATAGCAGCAGATTTCTCTATCCTGGATAGCAGACAGATTCCTATAAGCAGCACAAGAGGATATGTCATACTGATCGCATTGCGCAACTCTAGTCATTTTACTAGTGAACAGAAGAAGTTATTAAAATTGTAGAGACCCACAAGTATGGCTGTAATTATTTCTGAATAATGAAATGTTAAACAAATTGTGACCTAAATAGTATCATTCAAATCAATTTTTAAAAAGGTGATCATTCTTAAAACATACATTTTTTCAATGAGCTGTTTCTCATCCAAGGCATTTGGAAGGTCTCTCTTGTTTCCGAGTACTAGCACCTTTAAAAACACAAAAATGGCACTAAGAATTTATTTTTTTTAAAACATTAGAAAGTTAATTTTTATGTAAGTAAATAGTCTGTCAAGACTATTTATCAAAGGAGCCTATCACCGGCTTCTAAAGACAAATGACTTTAAAACATGAGTTGTTTAACTTTTCTCACATGCTGCAACCAACATGACACTGTCCACACTCATGGCCATCTAGGGAAGGCTCTGCAGCAGGCCCTACCCGCACCATCTCTGCCATGCAGCCCACTGTCATTCAGTTGCGACCATTCTGTTGGTTGAGGATCTTCCTATCTTGACTCTCCACCTTTCTGAGTATGACAATATACCCTTTTCTGACAACATTCCAGGAGTGTGTAAGATAAATGTCACCACCCTTATAGCTAAGGAGGACCCCAGTGGCCCTTCCTCCAAGACAAGCTTGTTTGTTCCTTTGGCGGACCATGGGACATTCACTACTCTTATCCACTATCACAATTAAAAGGCACTGATTATTTCTCTGTCATCCTTAGTCACTGTCCATCATTCAGATACACAGAAGATCATGGCTCCTAACAGCTGCATCTTAGTCTTGAAACACTTGCTCGGTAGCACCATGGTAAGGTCTCTGACGGCAGATTTCCCCAGTGCAGCACGGCTTTGGGTATCCTGATTGCTGTTACTACGGATGCCGACTGTGGAGTCAAATAAAAATAAACTGTCAGCAACTTCAAAGTTTCTCCCTCTATCTTCATGCCTCCTCTTGGTCCAGTGGTGAGGGTTTTTGTTTTCTTGATGTTGAGATATAATCCATATTAAAAGCTGTAGTCTTTGATCTTCTGCAGCAACTGTTTCAAATCTCACTTTTCAGCAAGCAAAGTTGTATCATCTGCTTAACACCGTTGCCACAAATGATGGCTATAGCAATCCGCACATTTTAATTAATAAAAAAAGGAACATCATTTGTACGAAGTGTACTAATGCTTTTATTTGTTAATTATTCAGTCACACATCGAAACAAATGTGCTTCTAAGCACGGTCATCAATTTAAAAGTGTGCAGCAACGTGTTAGGGCAGGTTGTTGTTAAGTTTTTCTCATCAACAATCCTAATGCCACTTTTTAAAAAAATTATACTAGTTTATTTATAAAATTTGAAGTTTGTTTTTCACACCAGATCCTTCCCATTTCCTTCATCCCCACCCACCCATCAAGCTGTGGGGGACCCCATGACTAATCTCCCGCACCTCTCCTTGGACCCTCACACTCTTTCAGCAATAATAGTTTTATAGCCACATTCTTTTTTAAGTCTAACTTCTCAAATTTTTTTCTCAGTACCCAGACTGAAAATGTATGGAGAAACGACACATTTTTGACACAATGCTCCTGATTTTAAACCATGGAAACACTGGTTCCCTTGTTCTATTTGGACAACAGCTTTTTGGTCTAGGTACAGATGTCACATGAGCAGTTAAGTGTTCTAGGATTCCTATTCTTCTCAATGTGAGCCCTAGTTTGTTATAATCCACATTCAAGCATCTTTCATGCAATCCCTAAATTCAATTTACAGCTACTAACGTCTACTTAAAATCTTCTAAGCCTATGCTACACATTCTGCTATTTCTTAATAAAGCTTGACCAAAATATGAATACGATCTTAAGAATTAGAGCACATTTGGAGTGGAGGAGTCGTGAACTACTGACCAACAGGGATGGATCTGGAGATTATTATGCTGAGTGATGGAGTATAGAAACACGACCATGCAATGCCAAGTCAAGGCTTACATGGAGATCATTCTTGTATGGTCATCAGGTTATGTGGGAAGGGAGAGAAAGGTGAATTAAGGTAATCAACTGAATGAAGGGAAAGGGAATACAAGGGACTAGTGAGACAATGTACTTAACACATTACATTAATCAACTGTAGTTAATATTATGAAAACCAGCGTGATTTGTAAACTTCATGGTGGTGGTGGTGGTGTACCACTGAGCTGGAACTGACTCAAGAGCTAATCCTTAGGGGATTTTCAGAGGCAATTAATAAGGAGCAGAAGACCCATCTTTCTCCCATGGAGCAGCTGGTGGATTTGAACCCTGTGCCTCCGGGATTATAGTGCAGCTTCTCACCACTAAGAGCTCCCTTTCATGGTAGGGAAAAATTTTTCACAGTCTCTAAGTGCTACCATATGTATTAATCACAAACCTACTGTGAAGTTAGGCCTTGCAACCACCTATGATGTGTCCAGGTGTCGTGAGGAAGTGACACCATCTCACAGTCAGCTGTCTTCTGACCCCAAGTCTCTGGTATCATTCCCAGGGACAGAGCGCACGGCTGTGCAGAGCTTACTGGACCCCCAGAGCCAGTGTTTCCCAGAGTTGTTTGTTTGACCAAAGCACATCCCGTCTACTTGTCGACCTCTCTCACTCACTGAGCATCCTGCCTTCCCGCTCCATCTGAACACGCTCCCTCACCCCCTGGAACAGACAAGCCAAGGCACAGCCAGCCAGTGCCATGGGGCTCCACAGAGCAGACCAGCCAGGCCTCAGTGCCGGGGCCAGCCCGCTGTTGTCCAGGGCCCATGCTGGACCTAACCGGTGGGTCTCTAACTCAACATCGTCATCATTTGTGGCTGTCTGTTGGCTTTGTGAGTGCCTGGCATTTAGTCCTTGTCCTGTATTTCAGAAAATTTGGCCCTTATAAACCTGCCTCCAGTAAAGCTACTGGGTTTTGCAGAAAACATCTTTTCCGGTTTTCCTTGTAGCAACAGCATGGGCGATACAGAATACAGCAAAATCAATCAGACAGATCCACCAATATACTGATGGGGAAAATAACAGAAAAGAGGGCGAGAGCAGCCATTCCCGGCGATGGGTCAGCTCGTGCACTGCCAGCCACACAGCTGGGTGCGTCAGTGGCCACAGTGCCCTCCACCTGGAGTCTGGGTGTGATCAGGTGGTGGTCCAGCGTCCTCGCCACAGCGCTTCATCTGAGCCAATGGCACAGCCTTTCCCAGGACTCGGCAAGCTGCTCAAGAAGCACACTCTCAAGGGATTCCTTTTCTACTTTAATCAACTCTCTGCCGTTTGCAACTAAGAACCATGACCATTACCAAGACAAGAATGACTTTCATTTGTGTATTCTTCACACACAGCGACCCTCCACAGTGCTTCTGAGACTTTAAATGACACTGGAAGAGCTGGCCCCCTCTGGAGACCCACAGCCCCCGGGTTAGCAGCATAGAGATGACGCCACCAGAGTGCTCATTTTGACTGCAATAGGAATAGTTCCGAAAATCAGACAGGCATGTCCAAACCCTGACTGTCGGCTTACTAATCATCACGTGATTCTGCATCAATACTAACTATCATAGGGGGACACAAGCAACTTCGAAATGTTCCGAGCACCACCTGATAACGCACTTCAAGTATGCAGTGCTCAAGAGCTCATCCGAAGGCTAACGTCTGCTCTCCCCCTCTTCTCAACATGACAGTGTCAAGCTCTCTCTAAGTGCTTAAGTGAGAAACTGGACATCTGTATCTCCCTGTCACTGACCTATGGCAGAGACTGCCTAACCGAGTGGAACCTGTGCTCTCATTCTGTCCCCCACCTGCCAGCAAGTCTTAACTTGAAGCTTCCTCACTCCCCTCTGTCCACTCCATGAGCCAGTGTTGAGCCAGAACTGACTCAGAGAGCCAGCACTGGGGGGGTTAGAGGCTGTAAACCACGCGAATAACATGCCCTCCTTGGCCCCAGAGACGCTCATGGACTTGGACGGCCAGAAAGGCTGTCTCTGGAGTAGCAGCTCAGCTCCTTATAAATTACACCAACTTTTCCTGCAGAGTCCTTCCAGGCTCCGATTCAGATACAGTGGTAATGATCTACTCAAGCCACAAACCTGTTCATCAGAAACTCAAGAGCTCCCCAAAAAGCCCTACACAGTCGTGCCCCCTCCAACCTCTCAGCAGCACAGCACACCACTCCACTTGGCCCTCCATCACCCCACCAACACAGCACCCACCCTACCTGGCCCTCCATCATCCCAACAACACGATGCCCCCACTCCCACCACAGCCCTTGTGTTCTCTGCTTGCTCTCATCTCAAAGGGCATTTGGTCTCAACCCTCCTAGTCTTCCAATCATCATCAGTTTAATTCCTACCCACAGTTTAGATCTTAGCTCAAATATCACTTCTCAGGGAAGCCTTTCTTCTTCCTCCAGATCAGATTAGATCTTCTCTGTGACGTGTGGTTTCCAGAGCCCTCAGGAACATCAAAGCTGGATTTACTCAGGGAGGTGGCAGCCCGGCCTCTCCATGACTGGGGTGTGCTTCCATTCACGTCTGTGGAGGGCAGCACTAAGACTGAGTTTAACAGTTGGTGAAGAAAAAGCACACGGTCTCATATCATGAAAGGACTGTCAAAATAAGCCCCCTGCATTTTCCAACAAATGACAATCTTCTGGATTTTATACTTAACTGTATATCTGCAAATGTAAAAATAGAAAAACCAACAAATATTTCATACTTACTGGGATTCCTTGTAACTGTGGTTTATCTAGAAGATTATGTAGCTCATTTCGAGAGGCTTCTATCTTTTCACGATCTGCAGCATCTATCATGTAACTTCAAAAGAATGAAGCAATGTAAACATGCCTTATCAACACACCGTGTGAAATCATTAATGCAGAGTGCTAACTCTCCTAACATCTATGGTACTGGAATAAAGGTAAGTCAAGTTCCACATAAAGACAGTTTCAGCACCGTAAAGACACCTCACCAGACAGTGCTATCAGGTAATTCATGACAGTAGAATATTATGTCCCTTCATTCTCCATTTAGAAAAACAGTAAAGAATTCTCATATAATGAGACTGCACTAAGAAACTACCTAAGAAAGACTTTTAAATTTATTATTTTTTGTGCATGTACCATCAAATCAGATCTGACTGGTACAGGAGAAGATTGCCCCTCCTTCTCCAGCAGAGCATCTGGTGGATTTGAACCGTGCACCTCTGGAATTGCAGTGCAGCTTCTTGCCACTAGGCCACCAGAGCTCCCTTAAGACTTTTAAGGCTTGGGAAAAAGACTGGACACAATGACAAAGCCCTCCCCTCTCCCACCACCGTGCCCCTCAAAAGGACTCACACAATGGCGTTGACCCCTCTGCAGTACCGCTCCCACATGCTCCGGAATCGAGGCTGCCCACCGATGTCCCAGATCTTTAAGTCAAGACAAGACAACTGTTAGTCAGGAGGAAGTGACGCCGGAGAAAGGGGAAGCAGCACCGGGTGGAGGAGCAGCAGCTGTGCCCATCTGCTCTCCAGAGACCAGAGAGCAGCGGCTGCTGGAGCTGCAGGCCCACCCCGAGCCAGGCATTCCCGAATGACCTCCAAACACCAAGTCCTACAAGCCAGTGACACTGCTCCAAAGGCACTGCTGGGGCAGAGGGCCGGCCGGCCCTGTGCAGTACTTTCTCTGCATTTAACCCATACACTTCTACTACAGAAAAGATTTCTCTTTAAGATAATCCTTCTTAAGTCAACCATGCTCATCCAGATTTGAATGCCAAGACAGCAAACAATATGGGTGGAGGGAGGGGTGGATAAAAGATTCAGTGTAAAAAAACAATGTATACGAACTCTGAAAGTAAACCAGTGTAAAATAAAAATCTTATTAAACAAAGAAGAGGGATAGCAAATAATAGTTTATTCAAATTAAAGTTTGTTTATATAAATACCCAATCTTTTTGTATACCTTTGTAAATAAACAAGCAATTACCTTTTTTAAAATCATTTCATCCACCTGAGAGCTACTGCCCCTGGTAATTTTGTATTACGCCTGCGCTGTGGGGCACTATGCGAAGTACTACATGAAATGCTCTGACCTATTTCTCTCGAGTGTGTTCCAATTCACGTAACGGATACACACAACATGTGCAGACAGACAGACAGATAAATCAGGGGCTTTGTTATTGTAGGCACAGGCAGGACTTCAGTGAGGGGTAATCACAACCCTTCCAAGCAGTCAACATTAAAGGAAGTCTGCCAAGCTCTTTTCTAAAAAGAAAACAGTGCTTTAATAACTACTTAACTTGGCCCTATCTTACAGTGTAAATTTTACAGCTTAGCACTGAAGGATGGGCAAACTGGGTTGCCATATTTGCTGCCACAAATGGAATATGAAATTACCATTGTAGATAATAAATTACTTCAGGCTTTTTATTCATAGGGTCGCTATGAGTCATGCTCGACATGAAGGAAATCAACAACATAAAATATTACCCACAAAAAACTGCCATCATATTCCAGATGCCTCAATGTTGGGATTAGTATTACTTAGGAAAATCTAAATCTAAAGAATTACTCTGACCAAGCTAAATTCCAAGTATTTTATGGGCCACTCATAATCATAATTTTTAACCTTTTTGGTCTGTCATTTTTGTTTAACGTGGGACTGAATGGCGAGGCAAGCTGCACACATACCTTTATAGTCACGTTGCCTTTGGTGACCTTCCTCATGTTGAAGCCCACGGTGGGAATCATGTCCTCACTGAACTGACCTGACTGAACCAAGAAAACACAAGTTAGACTCATCAATACTCACAAAGGAACAGCAGTCTCCAGCATTAACAGCCCATGTGGACCTGTTCTCATCAACTTTTTAAAAATTAGTGGCGAGAAAGGGAGCTCTAGTGGTCTACTGGGTAAGAAGCTGCACTGCCAACCCAAAGGCAGGCTGTTCAAATCCACTAGCTGCTCCACAGTAGAAAGATGGGCAGTCTCCTCCCATGTGATTTAACAGTCTCTGAAAACTCCCTGGAGAGTCAGCTAGGAGTCAACTTTGATTGAATGGCAATAAGATGAGCTGTGGTGGGAACAATCCACTTTAAGAAGATACTGCTAGACCTTCTGGTGCCCCTGAAGAGACAGGAGAACAGAGGACGCCCTTCTGCTCCGGCTACCCCACGACAGCCTTTTATAGCTAAACTGGAAACTTGGCGTTTGATGAAATCGTGCTGGGGGGAGGGGGGCTGTAGGGCAATATCTGCAGGACTGAGTACTTGGGAACAATGACTTAGAGACACAAGCTTGGGACTGAATGCCTGTGTGCACATTTCAGGAGCTATATTGACTATACTGTGTTATTAATCTGGATTATAACCTTTCAACTCCCTAAAAAAGAAAAAAAGGATGCTGCTTACAGCCAGGGTTTTGGAAGACATGGGCATTACTTTGTACATAGGTATATTCACTAGAAAATTACTGTCTTTTAAAATAAGGAACTACAATCCCAGAGGCGCACGGTTCGAATCCACCAGATGCTCTGCCAGGGAAGGAGGGACAATCTCCTTCTGTACCAGTCAGATCTGATTTGGCGGTACACGGACACAAAAATAAAATAAATTTTTAAAAAAATAAAAAGCTTCGTAAATCACAAGTATGTGTTCTAGTGGATGGTCTAGGGTAGGGGTTTGGGTGAGTGAGTGGGTGGTATGTGTCTGTGTGTGTGTTTCTGTAGACAACAAAAGAGCCAGGTGGCCCCTCCACTGAGACTGAGAGCCCTGGGGACCCATGCAGTGACAGGATGACAGGGAGCATACATTTTCTAAATAAGCAGTCACACTTTTGAGTTTTTAATCTTAAAAGGACTCAAGTATAAGAAGATAAATATTTATTCAACAAAATAAAAATTATTAGATTACAAGAGGGTGGTGATTTATCTACCAATAAAGTATTACACTTGGATGCACAGATTTTTATTGAGTCCCTGTAAGTATTTTCTTTTTTCAAGTCAAATCTTAAATTACTATGAACATAAAATGGTATGGTCAATTTGGGAAACAGTGTGGTATTTCGGACTTCTCTCTCAGATATTCACACCAGCCTGCATACGCAAATGTTCACACCACTGTTATTCACAATGGCAAAAACTAGAAGCACTAGTCAAGAAGCTTTTTCATAGATACATCGATAAACTGGTATATCCATACAAAAGAAATATTACTCAGCAAGAAGTGAGATGTCAAACTAGCCAATAACAGTCGGAGAGGTCAGTGTGCAAAGGCCGTGTGCCATATACCACCTCAAGGACTTTCTGGTAGAACGCAAAATGACAGGGCCGAGGAAGGCCCAGGGCTCGGAAATCTCTCCAAGCAGGAACTGGCTGGCAGTATGATTAATAGTCTGAACATCTATCACAATCCTCAAACTTTATAACCCAAAAGTGAGCCTGGTGTGAACAGAATCTCCACTTAGTAACCAGCAGCTGATGCCTCCACCAAGACAGGCACCACCCTAACGCAGGATTGCCGGGAACAGGGCAGGGGCAGGAGGAAGCAGTATTCTCTGGTTAATTTTTCTTTAAATCTCTAACTGCTCTAAAGTCCATTCACTCTTTAAAAACAGTAATGATTTAGGGAGCTCTGATGGCCTGGTAGCAAGAAGCAGTGCTGCAATCACAAAGGTGCATGGTTCAAATCCACCAGATTCTCCCCCTCTACCAATCAGATCCGATTCCACAGTACACATAAAAAATAATCAAATCAACAGTCAAACACCTCCTTAGTCTATATTACCCAGAGGACACTGTAACTGAAGATGCATCAGCAGTTCCCTAACAGCATGGCCAGGAACAGACAATCAGGTAAGAAAACAAGGAGGGACTCTAAGTAGAGTCCCTGCCCAGAATTCTCAAAGGACAGAAAGGACTTGAGAAAAGACAAACAAGTTTTATAGCTTGGGTATAAGGAAAACAGTTTCAGAGTTCATCTTTTAAACTTGGCATAATAATGTATTGTCTTATTTGTAAAATGGAAAAATTAATCAAATACAGTACGTTCTTTCAGGTCTAAGGTCCTCTGAATTTTTCAACACCCTGACTGCTGTGCGCAGTATCCAGTGTTGGGCGGCCATCGTGAACCCTCCAGGGCTCATCCCTTAACTCTTTAGCTCTTCACTGCTCTGGAAGAGTCAAGGAAACACACATTCTCCATGACCCACTAGAGAAACACCTCAAGGCTCATCATCATTTCCCCACAATTTCTGAACACTCTGGGCAATTCTTCATTAATTTCCTAAACACAATTCTTTTTTTTTCTCCAAGTTTCACATGCACTCTGGATTTGTCTAACTACCAGTTACTCCCTCCCACAGGATATTTAACACTTGAACCACTGATTAGCAGATTTACTCGGGCAGTTAAATCACTGAATTTGTAATTTTTCTCAGAAGACTTCAGATGGAGGGACAAGACAATCATGCAACTGGCCATTCACCCCAGCCCTGTGTGTTTCCGGGGTTTCAAGTCAAGCTGCATGGGTGTGGGTGCGAGAGGGTGGCAGAAGTGGTACAGGCCGAGGATATGTCCACAGAACACAACTAACCCGTGGGAAGGTCTGCTATCCCTCTCTTCTACAGCTGCTTTTCCCAGGTGCACTGTCCCATCTCAGAAGCCACTGGACATAGATAGGAGTTTCTGCCTCTAACCTTTCATCTTTCTGGGAGCCCACATGATGTACCCCTTTTCTCTGAACTGCTGTCCTGTTCCTCACAAACAACTCGAGCATGGTGTCTCAGCTGTGGGGTGTTCTCCATACATTTCTGAAGCTCAGGGGTTCAGGCCTAGTGTTTAAACCAAAAGAAGTTATCATTTTTTAAAATCTATGCTATTTTAAGCAAGCAGTCAGGTTTGTGTTGGGGAGAGGCGGTGGCACAGAGAATTCACTGCTCTGGTGTATTTACTGCTGGCAGGTTTAAGGTGCTGGGTCTCTAGTAGTGGGTTAGTGGCCGACTGCTAAGGAGCTTGGCAGTAGAAACCTACTAGCCGTGCTCGGGAGACATGGCCTCTGGCCACTTAACCGTCTCAGAAATGCCGTCCTTCAGGATGGAAATGAGAACAAACCTCGAAGACACAGGTTTGGGTACCGCAGGTTTTATTAATACCACACCTTCAACAGCAAAAAACTCATTTTTTAAACTGTTCTTTTTGGACAGAAACATTAAAACAGTGAAAGAGTCACCGCACTTCCTTTGACATAAAGTGTTTTGATAACAGAAAATAACAGGGAACAATTGTCTAGGTAAGAACCTTTCGTCCTGTGTAGAACTCTCTGACTGCAATTCTGACCATTTCCACTCAATCATTTAGAACACCTGGCAGACAGCTGACCCTCCACAGGGTTTTCAGAGACTAGAAGGGGCATGGGAGGAGAAGACTGCCCATCTTTTGCTCATGAAGCTACTAGTGGATTTGAACCACATGCCCCCGCATTGACAGCACAATTCCTTTGCAGCAACTTCTTTCATAAAAGACCAAAGACTGAATGTTCTCCAACCCACAGTCTCAATCAGGACCCTTTATTTATAAAGAAAATAAATTGCAAAAGGTCCCTATTTGCTCCTTAATATTCCAATAACAAACTTAACAAAATCCAACTCCACAGAACGTGAGGACCCGGGTTAAGTACAAAAAACTGAAGGGGAAAACCTAGACCTACAAATGTGGACCTAAAATCAACACCAGTGAGCACTGTTGGCCCCCCAATACTGCGGCTTTTGGGGGGGGGGGTGAAGAAATAATACCTTGCTGGAGTTAACCTACACCCAAAACTTTTACGCTTCTAGAAAACGTCTTAACAAGCATTCAGGAAAAACATATAGGGTGCTTCACAAGTGTGTGTGAGCCCCGCACGGGGCCATGCTAATGTTCTGTGTCGCTGCCAGGTACTCAGAAACGCTGCTGAGGGTTCCGGAAAAGCTGTGTGCTAGCAAATCCAGCCACTATGAACTGCTCATGTTAGAGAACTGTCTGGCCGGCTGGCCTTTTGGTTTTTTACTTCAAAAGATCAAATTTGTATTCAAATTTTGTAAATAAACTAGTAGAATATAAATACAGTTTTTAAAAGGGGGGGGGAAGATGTCGTCCGTTGGCACATGTGCGCAGGCAGCTGAAGGAAGGATGCCAGCGAGGACGCCATGTCCGGCCCCACGCCCGGCCTCCGTGCCCTTCAATGGAAGCCCCACACGGTCAGCCAGCTGGTCTAGCTGGGAAGCGGCTGCCATCCCCAATGCAGCGTGCACATCAAAAGGATGGGCAATCTCCTCCCGTGCCATCTGCTGCCCTGAACCCCACTGGAGGGTCAGCTGGGAGTCAGCTCTGACTCGATGGCACTCCACCATAATGCACTTCCAGTAGTGAGTGTTTAAAGTCCTCTTCAAATTTAGGGACTCCAAGAGCCACATGTCTCCTGAGGCTTGATCCCACCAGGGCCTTGGAGGGTGAAAGAAAGGTTGTCTCTCCTGCTCTGCCTTCTGGGAGTCAGCTGACTCAGGGCTGCCTCGAGGGGAGTGAGGGCCAGACGTCGCCTCCAGGCCGCTCAGTATCCAGGGCCTGAGCTGCACATGTCGACTCGGGGTGCACGACTGGCCAGCGCTGACCACCCGAGTGTCACTGGAATGATGCCGAGGTTACTGAGGGTTTCCTTAGGACCATTTCAGCGTGTAGAGTTCATAAGAGGATGAGAGGCCTGGTAACTCTGAAGCAGAGATGACGTAAAGATTCCATGCATTTTGGCTTAAAATGTTTCCAAGAAATT